AAAAATAAAAATAAAAATAAAAATAAAAATAAAAATAAAAATAAAAATAAAAATAAAAATAAAAATAAAAATTGGGAGAGTTGGCAGTGCTCCCTTGGCTATTACAATAATCCCCCAGTCTTGATTACAGGAGCTAGCCCTACCTTGCCAATCTCTGCTTTATCACTCTTTGTAAAACATGTAGGCACGTACCATCACTGAGTGTATATTTTATAGTGAGTACTTCCTTGCTTTTCTTCCCTCCTATAATATCTGCTAATGCTAATTTAAAGACTTTTCCCTCACATACCTCGCAAGCTTCAGTGGCTAGCCTTTGCTTTGTCTTTGGGGAAGGCTAATAATGTGGATGAATTTCGTTGTATTATTTGATTGTCTTATTTTAGAAAGACAATGCAAGCTGCAATAAGCACTAGCAAGCTTTCAAGAAGGAAAAAAAGATTCCTTCTTCAAATATATACAGATTGCATGGAAGGTATAGTTCAAAGGTGATGGATGTCGCTTGAATGTTTGTATTGAATTTGGCTGGCATTGAATTGCATCAAAAAACCAGCAGTTTTTTAAGTGAACCTGCCTGTGTAAGAAGAACCTGGGAAGTACTATACAGACAGTGTAAACACAGAGGTTTTTATATTCTACTGGATTACTGCAGAAAATTTGAATGCCTCCAAATTATATTATCTATGAAGATTTTCTATCATCTATTAATGCTGTGGCTGGAGTAAACATTTTCTCATGCAGAAATATTTCACCTGTATATGACCATTCAGAGCACATAAATATGTGTGGAGCTCATTAAAAACACAAAGGAATTCTCTTAATTTCAGTAGACAGCCAATGTGTTTTGCTTTCTGAAGTCATGCAGGAGAAGAATCCATGCTTTTGGCTTTTCAGACACCTAAATCCTCTACAGCTGGGGCTTTTTATACTTTCTCAATGTATGTTCTTTTGTTTCAAGTGCATTCCAAACACTCTCACAGTTTTGTTGCATTTTGGGATGAACTTCTGGCCCATTCTGAGCCCTTTTCAATTCATTTCACCCTTCTTTTGCAACCCAAGCCAGATTTCTTCCTGTTGCAGAGTCTGTAGGAGCAGATGGGTGAGAGAAACTCTGTGAGATTCTGCTTTCTGAATATTTCCCTCTAATTGTTGTATTGGCTCAGTGGATCTGGAGGGACCAGTTGGAAGCCAAGGGCCATCTGCACAAAAGCTCTATACTTTTGCATTGGCCCAAGGATCCTTTATATCCTCTGACTCGTTTGTGGCTTCATTCCAGCAGAGCCATACTGAAGGAGGGCTTCTCCTGCTATGACCCCTTTAGGGATATCATATTAAAAGTAAAGGTCAGTGAGAAACTCTTTCCAGCTCAAGGAATAGCTGTTTCTTAAAGATAACTACTAGTTTTGAAAATGTTGACCTCAGGGACTAAAAGCATTGAGCTTTTGTAACACTAATTCCATTGAAAGTCCTTAATTTAACCCCTACAATTTGCATTTTTTTTGAAGATAA